GTAACCACAGTGTAAGTATACATTGGTACATAGTATCTACAGCTCTAATGTTTGTGTAACTACACATATGTTACAACCCACTGAATGGTATGTGCAAGTACAAATATGTAACAGGACATTGGTAACAACACTTTTTGGTAATGAAAGTACAAATGTGTAACAGGACTAACAGCACTTTTTGGTAAAGAAAGTGTTACACTTTATATTAGATTTACCATGCAATTACTCTGATGTTACACAGCAGCGGCCAGTAAGTTAGGCTTTACATATAAATTGTGGTTGGTGTCCAGAATGTTACACTTTATATTAAGTGGACAGTTCCAGAGGAGTTACCATGTAAATACACTGGTATCACAGTGGTGCACCAACTCCACCAACTTGAGATCCAACTCCTCCCACTTTACATATCCCTAAACCTACCCATTTCTACCCCTAAACCTACCCATCTCCACCCCCTGGATCAAATTGTTCCAATTACTCTTATACATATTGTTGTTACAAAATGTAGTTATATATGTCCTGTTACACATTTGTACTTACACAAACCATTCGGAGGGTTGTTACATGTGTGTAGTTACAGAAATATTACAGCTCTAGATATTATGCCATTGTACTTTAAAGTCAACCTGAGCTGTTTGCAACCCATTTTACTTCTGCAACCTGAATCTAGACATTCAGCAATAAAAATTAGCAGGGCAGGACTTGATTTTATCCATCAGGCATTGATTGAAGTAGCTGTTATACACCAGAATGGAACCAGATGGTAGGAGGATCGAAGAGTAAGAGAGATTCAAGACTTCAGCCAATAAGAAAATTCATTTTAGAGGCTAAGCAAGCTATTACATTTAGATTACAAACAAATACAAACATGTTTGGACTGATGAATCAAGCACAGTAAGATCTGGAATGTGCATGTATTAAGACAATAAATAGAGTCCATTTTGATTTCCCAGGTAAATAGGGGGAAATGCAAACTTTTTTTTTTTTGCAAGTTTGCAAGTTTTCCGAAATGTTATGTTGGGTCCAACTTTATATTAAGTGTCGCTAATATCTGTGTACTTACATAGTAACTAGATGTGTACATAGTATGTAACCACAGTGTAAGTACACATTGATACATAGTATCTACAGCTGTACTGTTTGTGTAACTACACATATATAACAACCCACTGAATGGTATGTGTAAATACAAATGTGTAACAGGACATTGGTAACAACAACACTTTAAAAAATATATATATTATTTAATTATTTTAATTAAAAAAATAATTAATTATTATTAAAATTAACACTTTTTGGTTATGAAGGTACAAATGTGTAACAGGGCTAACAGCACTTTTTGGTAAAGAAAGTGTTACACTTTATATTAGATTTACCATGCAATTACTCTGATGTTACACAGCAGCGGCCAGTAAGTTAGGCTTAACATATAAATTATGGCTGGTGTCCAGAATGTTACACTTTATATTAAGTGGACAGTTCCTGAGGAGTTACCATGTAAGTACACCGGTATTACAGTGGTGCACCAACTCGAGATCCAATTCCTCCCACTTTACATATCCCTAAACTTACCCATTTCCACCCCCTGGATCAAATGGTTCCACACTGAATTCAATGATGAACTGCCTTTAACTGAAAAATGAGTGTTTACTATTGTAATTTTACATTATTGACACACTATTTTCCTAATAAATGCTGTTCAGTTGCTTTGACACAATCTGTATTGTTAAAAGCGCTATATAAATAAAGGTGACTTGACTTGACTTGACATATCCCTAAGCCTACCCATTTCCACCCCCTGGATCAAATGGTTCCAATTACTCTTATGAATATTGTTGTTACAAAATGTAGTTATATAATTCCTGTTACACGAGTACTTAGTGAAGTGAAAAAAAAGTGTTGTTACCTATGTCCTGTTACACATTTGTACTTACACAAACCATTCTGAGGGTTGTTAAATGTGTGTAGGTACAGACATATTACAGCTGTAGATACTATGTACCAATGTGTACTTACACTGTGGTTACATAATACGTACACATCTAGTTTATATGCAAGTACACAGGTATTAGGGCCACTTAAGAATCTATTTACAAAAATGATCTGAATCACTTCATTCACTCTTGCATTAGATAAGTTGGAATAGTTACTAAAATAGTTCACCCGAAAATGAAAAATCTGTCTTTCTTTTCTCACCCTATCGCTTTAGGCACATACATTCTTGCTGTTGTAGCAACACAAAAGTGAAATTCCGCTTTCCACACGGAACTGCCTTCTGGGTTTCAAGGTTACAAAAGGACTCAAATGTATGATAAAAGCAATCCTTTTGACTGTATGTGCTATATTCCAAGTCTTCTAAAGCAATAAGATAACTTTGCGGGACTGCAAGTACACAGGTATTAGGGCCACTTAATATAAAGTGGGACCCTTATAATAATGGATTACTACGGTCACATGGACTTAAACACGCACGCAGCGGCCTTAAAGTCATCAAGACACATCAGATTGTCTCTAATAAATCGCTTTAATTCAAACAAATTTTCATAATCCTCAGAAGTCAAACTCAATCGGAAATAAAATTAGATTAATCTCATAGCCCTAAATTACAAGAGAGACCTCGCTTCTGGATTGCAAAATAACGAAAATGCATATTATCGCATGTAGAAACGGTTGGCAAGATACAGTTAGCTTGATAATATTTATGTAGCAATAATAAACTCTAAGTGTACTTCCTTAATTTCCCCAGCACCAAAAGCAGAACAGTTAACATTCGCTTTTCAATACTACAGTCTTTTGTAATTTAGCCCCAGAGCTCATTTAATACCGGGTTCAGGTATTCATTCCTACTTAATAGAAGCACAGAAGAATCAGTTGCAAAGCTACATGACAGCAAGCAGCATTTACTACACAGAGCTGTACTTCACTGACAAGCTACGCAATATCGCGTTGATTATCGGCGATGAATCGCCTGCGATTATGAATGTGATACAGCCGTAGTTTACTGACAAGCTACGCAATGTGTAGTAAAATGCTGCTCCATCTGAAAGCATGTGATGGAGATTTACTACTAATCACAGAACCGGCTGTACTGACAAGATGCGCATGATAATCACATTCGATTATTTGCACAGCCCTCCATGACAGTATATCTTGCATATGCATTACCTAAATACATCTTATGCTGGGTACACTAAAAGATTTTAAAAATCTTATAAGATCTTCAAAATGTGAGAGACCACAGATATCCTAGATTTAACCATTTTGCTCTTATAGTGTGTGGTGTCCTCGGGGTTCCCCCCCACACATCAGGATTTTTGAATATTTACGATTCGCGATCGGGGCGCCTCCGATGTTCTTCCGAGCAGATTCAGTCACTCTTAACACACCTCACACCACAGGAAAATCTGATAAGATAATCTTTAGAACCACCAAGATAATCGGGACATTACCTAGGATTGTCGGAAGGGGAGAAATCGGCCCAAAATCAGCCCGAGATATCCTAGATTTAACCGTTTTGCTCTTCTAGTGTGTGGTGTCCTCGGGGTTCCCCCCCACACATCAGGATTTTTGAATATTTACGATTCGCGATCGGGGCGCCTCCGATGTTCTTCCGAGCAGATTCAGTCACTCTTAACACACCTCACACCACAGGAAAATCTG